AGTGAAAGCATAAAATAAACGGGTTGCAGTGCAACTAAAAAGACTAAGACAGAAATTGATTATTTCCAAGCATCTAAGCAGTCCACTACGGATACTCCTGGCTAGGCGTCAGCCAGGTTGTGCCGGCGGCCGCAAGGCCATATAGACACATCCTCTCTCCTCCCCTCAAATGAATTCCACCCCCTTAACACCCTAGCCCCGCCCCTTCTGGTTAACCCAAACCATTCCCCAGGGCTAGTGAGGGGATACACAAAACAAACAATAACCAAACAACTTCAGGCAAATAAACACAATACAAAAAATACACATGACAAGAAGCTTCCTATTACCGGTAATCACACTCATTTATATTAATTTAGTCCTAACCCTTTTCTGTCTCTCCCCACAGGTTCTCGGATCCCACCTCCCCCCTTCTACACACAGCCGTGGGCTCTACCGGCCAGTATAAGGGAAGCCCTGGAAAGCGCCCGCACTCCCCAGGATCAGGACAGGACAAGGTAAGTATATCTTCTATGTACATTTTACAATAATTTAAGTTTCACTTCAGTCATTGTCCCCCTTTTTATGCCCCGGTGTCCTTTCACAGTCTTGGTGATGGGACAGATTTACTGACCCCATCACACTGGAACACACACCGTTACTGCAGTCTCAGTCTTTGTCAATCCATATGGCACTTGTAAATGCGCGCTCTGTCCACAGTAAGACGTTTATGTTAAACGAATTATTTACTTGTCATGGTTTCGACATGTTTTTTTAACTGAGACATGGGCCACAGCTGGTGAATCGAGGAGGGTCGTGATGCAGACACGCCCCCCAGAACGCCCATCACGTGACGTCAGGGGCAGGTGGGCTTTGGAGTGCTAAAAGCCACAGTAACGTTGCTGAGTACACATAACTACGACGGTGTTTTAGGGCCGCTGTTAATAAAAATAGTAGACTTTGAGAATAAAGTCGTAATATGTAGAGATTAAAGACGTAAAATTACGAGAGTAAAATCGCGATATTTCGAGGATTAAGTGCTAACTGTGGGGGGCTGCCATGGGGTCTCGGTTGCTGGGCTGGCGACTGTGAGGATGCCGAGCGCGCCGGATTTCCTCACACTCCTGTCTCCTTGTGGATCGATCATTTTGATCATCATTCTCATTGTCTGTGAAACTTCATGCCCTCTTTGAATGGCGCGGAGATGTAGCACCCGATGGCCGTGTAGACGACCCTGCCTGCGATTCTCCTTCAACAATACAGACAGGCAGTTTCCTCCGAGTCCGTCTGGCTCTTTATTCTAAATAAACACAGTTTCCTGCTCAGCCGTTTCTTAAACTAATAACAGGCTGGTGCTGATGTGCAGGAAAGACAGGGAGACTGAGTATTTCTTTATGGGTGAATCGATATGAAAGTATAACTCGAACAACTCAACACCCATTATTTAACACCAGGTGCTGCCTTTGCAAAGCCTTTGGCCACATTACTGCATACCTTTTCTGGTAATATCCCACTTTAATGTCGTAATTAATATCGTAATATATTATCATCTAAATATTATAACTTTCTTCTCAAAATAAAGATTTTATTCTAAAAATGCGACTTTTGTCACGAAATATTACGACTTTATTCTCAAAGTCTACTATTTTTATTTTTATTCGTGGCCCTAAAACACCATGCGAGCGCTTTCATTACAGATTATGATGTCGGTAAGTTACTGTTACATTAACATTTAACTACGACCTTAAAACTTGTGGAAAATAAGCACATGGTTGCTTGATAGTCAGCAATACTCAACCTTGCCAGAGTTATATTGTGCAAGCTGGCAGCACCAGGGCAAGAGTTTTGCTTCTTGGTGATATATTCATGTCTGCTGCCCTGATAAATATCAGGTCAATGATTTAATGCAGCTACTGAATTCTTTCAGTTTTATTCAGCATATTTATGAACCCACCCATGTGCAAGGTCACACACTTGATTTGGTGCTTTCAACTGGTTTTTAGTGTTTAGCTCAACATGTACTGCGCACTTCCCTGCTGCTGTTTTAGGGCATTGGTCAAGATATATTAGTTCGCCCACGGCTAATGATTTTTCCAGAGCCTTTTCAGACAATTTAAAATCGCTTAATGATGGTCAGGCTCATCATAATGTGGATGATTTAGTCACTTCTTTTCATCATAACTGTTCAGCTGTTCTAGATACTGTTGCTCCTATGAGATTTAAACACTTCAAAAGTTCAGCCCTGGTTAAATGCAGCCACTCAGGAAATTAGACAGCTTGTAGAAGAGCGGAGAGGTAATGGAAAAAAGATAGACTGCAAGTAAGTCTTGATATTTTTAAATGTTGCCTGGTTGACTATCAGCTAGCTGTTAAGTCCGTCAGGGAGGCATACTTTTTAAACATCATTGCTAAAAATTGCAACAGACCTAAAGTTTTGTTCAGCACAATTAATACTTTACTTAAACCTTCACCCGAGTTTGGACTTGATCCTTCTCCTAGCTTATGTGAACAGTTTTAAACTTTTTTGTTGGAAAAACTGAGACTATTAGGTCTAGCTGTGTTTAGAGTTTCAATCTCTGAATTAACAGATTTAGTGCTGAACACAAAGCCGACAAACTCTCCAATTGATGTTATGCCCCCACATCTGGTTAAGGAGACATTTGATATTTTAGGACCTTCTCTCCTGAATATCATTAATACCTCTTTAACCACTGGTGCCATTCCAGCCTGTTTTAAACATGCAGTGGTTACACCTTGCCATTTTTTTTTTGCTGGAAAAGGTTGTATATTCTCAGTTTTTATCATTTTTAAGTAGTAATAGAATTTTTGAGATTTTTCAGTCTGGTTTTAAGGCTATGCACAGCACTGAATCTGCCCTCCTTAAGGTGAAAAATGAAATTGCTTTCTGTTGATGAAGGAAATTGCGCCATCCTCATGTTACTGGATCTAAGCTTTGCTTTTGATACGGCTGACCATGACATACTTATTGGTCACCTAGAAAAGTGGGTGGGGTTACAGAGAGGAGAGAGAGAGGCCCTGAGTTGGTTCACATCTTATCTTAAGCACAGAACATTTTCAGTGAATACTGCCTGCTATTTCTCTTCCTCTGCTGATGTCTCTTGTGGCATTCCACAAGGGCCCATATTAGGGCACCTCCTTTTTTCACTATACATGCTACCATTAGGTGATATTATTAGGAAGCACAATATCAGCTTTCATCTTTATGCTAATGATATACAGCTTTACCTTCCCATTAGACCTAATGACAATGGCTCTTTAATGTCTCTCAGCAGTTGTCTTGAGGACGTTAAGAGGTGGATGGCTGTCAATTTCCTCCAGCTGAATGAAGGCAAGTCAGAGGTTATTATTTTTGGTGGTCCTCATCACATTAATGATGTCTCTAATTGCCTTGGTCATTTGTCCCGATGTGTCAACACTTCTGTGTTCTTGGTGTTATCTTTCACTCGGTCCTCAGACTTGATAAACAAATCAACTGAGTGGTAAGGAGGAGCTTCTTTCAGCTTAGAAACCTTGCAAAGCTTAAGCCTTTTCTCTGTTTTTCTGACATAGAGAAAGTTATTCATGCCCTCATCTCCTCTAGAATTAACCACTTTAATTCTTTGTATATTGGGATTAACCAGTCTCAGTTGCAATGCTTACAATTAGTGCAAAATGCAGCAGCTAGGTTACTGACTAGTACCGAAAAAAGAGACCATATTACTCCAATCCTTGCTTCACTTCATTGGCTATCTGTCCAGTTCAGGATACAGTTCAAAGTGCTTTTTTTTAGTTTTTAAAGCACTTAATGGTCAGGGCCGTATGTTGGAAGTATGCTTACTCTCTGAATTAACAGATTTAGTGCTGAACACAAAGCCGACAAACTCTCCAATTGATGTTATGCCCCCACATCTGGTTAAGGAGACATTTTAAAGTACTTAATGGTCAGGGCCGTATGTTGGCAGTATGCTTACTCTCTTTACCACACAGCGAGCTTTGAGATCATCCTTGCAGAAACTGCTGGCTGTTCCTAGGGCTCATTTGAAGCTTAAGGGTGATTGTGCATTTGCAGTCTATATGCTCCGAGACTATGGAACATTGTCCCGCCCACTATTCGCCAAGCACCTTCAATTGCTGTTTTTAAATCAAGACTAAAAACATATTTATACAAACTTGCATTTGAGTAGTCAGGGGCTGTGGAACTCAAAGGGGAATTCTGTCTTAAAATTCTATCTTAAAAAATCTGTATAATTAAGTGGTTAAGATTAGTAGTGGGTGACATGCCACTTCATCTGGTACACCAGTTGAAATTCTTTTTAAGGTATTAGTTTTGTCATTACCATTACACCAGTATGCAAATAAAATATTTACTGAACTCCAGCAGCATCTGACACTCATAGATTCAAGCTCAGGTGTAAAAGACGCACATATGAGACAAATGACTTTCGGACGTAAAACAACAATCAGCACTGTTTTGCGCTCAGAGAAGCTGCTGTGGGCTTTACATACGCTTGCCTTTATCTCAGTAGGGTTGGAAAGCAGTTTACTTAAGCATCAAAATGGTTTTATTTTTAAAAACATACAAAAAGACAGCTTTTATTAGCTTTCTGGCTGATGCCTCTAGTGATGCTGGCACAAGAAACCTTGAAGGGCTGATAATGAGGTTCTCAAAAGAGCCAATAATAATAAACACATTTGTGGCTGTGGAGGAGCTGCAGCACAGTACTGCTTTAATGAAAACCTATTTACAGCAAAAACAAAATGAGTTCAGTGAAAGTATATTGTGACAGTGCATGCATGTTTTAAGAAAAAATAATCTTAACTAAATAAATCAGGTTATATGTGCTTATTTATTTTTGAATAACACTTTGAAATACAAGCATTTGTTTGGGACAATAAAAATTTGGTTCAGGACAGTGAATTTTCAGGTCGACTGGGCAAGTTGGGAAAAAATTTTATCGTTGAACCCTGCCCTGGTTCCTTCACTCTCTCCAGGTACTAAACTTTTTTCCTGTACCCCTCTTATCACTGGGTACATTTCAGTACTTTTGGTTAGGGAACATAATTGTACCATAATCGATTGCAGTGAACCCTGCACCAAAAAGGGTGTTGCTATTGTTATGATGTCAAGCGTGTAACAATAAAAGATCGCTTTTTTGTGTTGTATAGAACCATATAAAACATAGTATCCATCAATTCAAGCATTTCACCATGCAGGTGACCATGCAACTCAGGGTTCTAAATAGAACCACTGACTTTACTAAAGAACCCTTGAAGAACCGTCTTTTAGTATTGCATAGTGTATAGTGTAGTGTAGTATAAAGTATATAATATTACTCCACCCACAAAAATCTACCAGCCAAGCCAGCCAGGAGGGCGGGGCTTTCGGAATGCAGGTGGAAGGATAAGCGCCGTGCTGTCCTGAGTGGATCAACAGTGAGTCTCCAAAGCGCTTCCAGCGAGCAGACTTTAACGATGGAAGAGGAGCGGTTGGAATGGTTTTATTTGTTCTCCTCAGCAAATCTCTCGCCTTCTTCTTGTATTCGGAAACTGGACAAGTTCTGCAGCAACTGCGTTTATTTACTGAACACACGCGTGTATCCAAAGCAACTTGGATGAAAAAGTATAGTGAATAATGAATTTCTCAAGCATCTTCGCCACGTTTGGACCCCCAGCTCTCGTGAACGCGTCTCTCTGGAGCTCCAGCAGCCACAACAGCAGCGCTCCTCGCCCTCCTCCTCCTCTTCCTCACCTTCCTCTTCGTGCTCCTGTGGACGTCCTGTTCTCCGGGCGCGAGCCGGGCACCGTCCTCCTCGCGCTCATGTACGTGGCCTCCTTCCTCACGGGCCTGGCCGGGAACGTCACGGCGCTCCTGGTGCTCGGCAGCAGCAGCAGGAGGAGGAGGAGCAGGATGAAGCTGCTGAAGATGAGGAGCGCGTCGTCGGCCACCAGACGCCTCCTGGCCAACCTGGCCGCGTGCGACACGCTAGTGGTGTGCGTATGCATGCCGGCCAACCTGGGCCACCACGTGCACCGCGCCTGGCCTTTCGGCGAGCTGCTGTGCCGCGCTGTTCCCTTCGTGCAGGCCGTGTCCGTGGCGGCCAGCGTGCTGAGCCTGGCCGCGCTGGGCCTCAGCCGCTACTGCGGCGTGCACAGCCCGCTGCGCGCGCGTCACGCCTTCACGGGAGTGCGCGTGGGCGCCGTCATCGCCGCCGTGTGGGCCGTGTCGTCCGGACTGTGCCTGCCCCTGCTCTTCACCAATGAGACGCGCACGCTCGAGCTCCCGGACGGCACGCATTCCGTGACCCTGTGCGTTGAGAGATGGTCCGAGGCCCGGCTGCGCCAGGGCTATAACTTCCTTCTCTTCTGCGCGCTCTACGCCTTTCCCGTGCTCTTCAACCTCGTCATCTGCACGCTGACCGTGCGCAAGCTCTGGGGGGCCAAGGACGAGCCCGGGGCATTGGGCTTCGCGCGCTCGGGCGCGCGCCTGGAGACGCGCAGGAGGATCGCCAAGATGGTGCTGGCGCTCGTTCTGCTCTTCACCTTCTCGTGGCTGCCTCTCTACGTGGTGGACATCTGGCTCGACTTCCACATGCCCGAGGACAGGGGGCGCGTGCCGGAGCGCGTGGAGCACGAGTGGGTCCTGCAGAGCCGGCCGTTCGCGCAGTGGCTCGGACTGACCAACTCTGCGCTCAATCCGCTATGCTACTGCTTCGTGGGCGAGCTCAGGCGCTGCGCCCGGAGACTGACCGCCGGCTACAGGGAGAGAGTGACCAGCCTGTTCGCAAAGGCCAGGAGCTCGCAGAGCAAAAACGGCTGTGGAAGTGACTGTGTGTGACACTGTGCTTGGGATGAAGAGTTTTGACTTAGAGGAGGATTTTTCGAAATGTCTGCATAATTAAAGGGGGACTCCGCCGATCATAATATGGGCATAGTTCAGTGGTTGAGATGTAAACAGTCATACAGAGTGGTTTGTTATGAAATGGTTGCAGAGAAACTTACAGACTCAGATTTCTTCACAATGGTGGTGATAGGAGCCAGGGGTCACTTGTCTACACTCAAAAGGATTTCACCGTGCAAAGAACCATTTAAGCATGCAAATGGTTCTTTGAGTGTTCATAGTTCTATGCTAACTATTCTTGTCTTTACTAAAGAACTCCTGAAGAACCATCTTTTTAAAGAGTGTACCTCAACACAAAGTTCAACGGTTGATGTCTAAATTGAAACGTTTCAGTGCAATGCAATTCTTTTGCGTTTCATTGGAATTAAATTCTCTTTGGATCAATGTAAACAGTTTCCATTCATTTAAATGTACTTTCATTGATTTTGTCCATTTTACATAAACCAGTTACTTAGACAACACAGTTCATTTATTTAATGTCAGTGAACCTACACATGTCTTCTGAGTTTTTCTATGTAATATTGAGAATGGTAAAAAAAATTCTTTGGAGACTATTTTGCCTCACGACTGCATGTAGCTCTCCACCATGAATAGATTAAAAAATTACGTTTTACATCGAAAGCCTACCCTGTAACTATCATGAAACATTGTCCCAGACATCAGGAAGCATATTCATAAGAATTTCACGTAATAATTTTTTGTGAGGGAGCTTTTAGAGGTGACTGTGTAAGTTTCTCTGCAACAGATCGTTTCACATCAAACCACTCTGAATGACTTTGTTCACATCTTAACCATTTAATTATGCAGACATTTTGAAAAATTGGTGGAGTCACAGATTTCAAAGAGTGTTTTAGAGTGATTTGATGATCTGTTGTAGAGAAACTAGAAGGAACCAGAAGTCTGAAGAGTTAGATGTTTTTAAAAGCTTCCTCACAGACAGCATATGAAATGCTTGCAAATATGTAAGAAGTTGTTTTGCAAATGTTTTAAGAATATGTATATTAAATGTCTATATTTGTGTCGTAAGTATTCCGACACCTGATTCCTTTCACCACCACTGTGAGAAGTCTGAGTCTGTAAGTTCCTCTATAATGAACCACTTCACATCAAACCACTGTGAATGATTGAATTGGTAGAATTATGCAGACATTTTATTCCCCTTTAATACAGCAGAATGACCAGTGCTAAATGAACACCTACAGTGATGAATAAATGCTTGTGCTGAACACTAATAGAGTGAACTAAGCAACATCAGTTCAATTCAAAATATATTTCAAGAGTTTAATTACAAGTCACTGTATATCTGTTTGTAACCATTTTTAATAAAGCAAGTTTTTGAAAAGAACTATAGCTAATTTTAAGGAAAAACATACTCTTATCCAACCTCATCAGGAGGGCAAGTGGGGCATGCAGGTGGCTCCAAGGTCTCTATTTGATAAATGCACGAAGAGTTCAGATTATGACCACGCCCAAACAATGATACCAGTGAAACTGTTGAATAACAAACACCATCATGGTAATTCTCTATGATAGCTACATTTGTTTGGCTTCTGACAGTCAAAGAGCAATGCAGCATGAAGCTTATTTGTCCCAGTTCACCTGGCGTATGCAAAAATCGTTATAAATGAACAAATTTAAATATGGCATTGTTTTGCCAATTTTATTTATATGTTGAGTTTAACATATTGGAAAAAATGACAAATATCAAATGTGCCTTTACTTTTGCACAGGACACATTGTATGTTTTATTTTTTTCTCCAGTATGCTAAATTCATCAGATAAGCAGTAACTGTGCAATAAAATGTGCAGAAGTGTGTTCTTTGTAGAGGATGTGTTAACTTATATTCAACAAAACGTCATGTGACAAGTGGTGCCAAAACATTTGGATACAACAATATATACTGTGTGCTAATCTTAATAGCATACGATTTTGACAGGTTAGTAAATAAAATATTAACATACTGCGCTGTTTTGTACCAACTGGATGGCATGATGTCATGTTGCAGTGTTAAGTTGCTACTTGTAAGCTACTTTGGAATGACAACGTCATTTAAATACAAAAAAAACGTTAATTGAGGACTTTAATAGAAGTTTATTACTGGTCTTCATTTATTGCTTTTTTATTATACTTTCAGGAAGCAAAGACACTCCCATTAAGTAGTAGTGCTTTCTAAATTTACATGGTAATTCCAGCCAGCTAGCACACATTTGGTAGTTTATTAGCTGAGCAGTCAGCTGACATCAAGTTTGACCTATTTCACAGATAATTTGGAACACAAATGTAGAAACACAATGTGGGTTAATTTTACATATTACAATGGTTACTTACCATTTGTAAAGTGTTATTTGACTTTATTCCGTTTGCCATGATGAAAATGGTGTTGATAAAACTGGTGATGTCACAACTCGGCCTGTTCCTGTTGCATCATGTTGTACTTTAATTTATGTGGTTTATTTGGTACCTCCTGGTGGGGAACTCTTTTTCAGACAAAACAGTGTTTATTGCATCCAGTTCAGCTCAGATTGTATGCCAACGCTGTAAAAGATTCAGAGACAACACCATAGCTGTTCATACAGTTGATAATTCAACACTGTTTCTATTCATTCAGCAGGTTTTTAGTGTGTTGACTGCATGGATCTGTCTGTGTGGGAATTAGAGCAAATTCCGCATATGTAGTTAGAATTCAATTATTATTTTTATTGGTTTTTTTTTATATGAAATGCCATGTGATATTTTGAAATATTAAGGTTTAACTGATTTGAAACAGTCAATTTATTTATATTATTTGAGGTAAATGGGTGAAATTGTCTCATAAATAGTAAAAACATTTAATAGATACACTTTCATCATCAGTGGTGATGCCCCCCTCATACGAAAATTACTTTTAATAAATAACAACTGACAGTGTAACATGCTTCTTTACTCACTATATATATATATATAATATATAATAATATATATATATATATATATAATATAGTATGTGTGTGTGTGTATGTGTGTGTGTGTATATATATATATATATATATATGTGTATGTATATATATATATATATGTGTATATATATATATATGTGTGTATATATATGTGTGTATATAAATAAAATGTGTGTGTGTGTGTGTATGGGTTTGTGTATATATATGTGTGCTTTTTTCACATGATTGCCTTCTTGAGGGATCACACTGAACAGACAGCACACAGAAAGCAAGTGTTTTCTGTCTTTGCAGTGCATTTGAGAAATGTAGTGTAGTCATTTTGCTGAAAGTGTTTCCTGAGTTTGCAGTGTGTTTGTAAAATTAAGCTCAGGTGTAGTCGAATTGAAATTGAAATTGGCTTCTGAATTTGTATCGCATTTATGACTTTGCAGCGCATTTTTCCTTGTACTGTACATTTGGTCTTTTCAGCCGCTTTAGAAAAACAAGTATTTCTATTTCATTATCAAGCTAAAAAGTAACAGAGATGTGCATGGGTACTCGAGGTGCCAGTATTTGAATAGTAAAATCACTATTTGGCTATTCATTATGTTTCATCATGGGAAGACAAAAAATCTACAAGCCATATCAGATGGGGTAGCTAGTGGACCCGTGGCAGGTGAAGTGGGTGAGCAACCAGAACCTTGTGGGTTCAAGTCCCAGGACTGACTGGGTATACCTGGTTGTGTCCTTGGGCAATGCACCCCACTGGCCCAGGAGGCACTTTTTTTGGCAATGCTATGGGCTGCTCCAAAAATGGGCATAGTTAGGCAGCAATATGATAAATCTCTGCAGGACCTACTTTTTTCAAATAGTGTATGCTTCAATCAAGATCCTTCATGTGCAGCACAAATCTATTTGAAAAACACCAGAAACAGCTTTGAGTGGTGAGGCTCCAGAGTTTGTAAATAAATGTAAATATTAATTTAAAAGGAAATTCCTCAGATTTTCAAAATGTCCATATAAGTATTCATTCAGAGTGGTTTAATATGAAATGATCCATTGTGGAGTCAGAATTGTTCAAAGCGGTGGCAATGGGAATCAGACATCTAAAGTGATTAATGCCTCACAAGCTCCCTCATGGAGCATTATTACATGACATGGTAACAGATGTGTTGCCTGTTGCCTGAGACTTTGGCCTAAAACATTTTTTAAAGAACATTCATGTGAAGAGGCACATGCAGTGCACTGTAAGGTACAATATTTACCACTATTTTACCACCATCAACATTACACATACACTTAGAACAGGTTCCTGTCATTACCACTGTAAAGAAATCTGAGTCTAAAGAATCTGAGGTAGGTTTCTCTACAATGAACTGTTTCACATCAAACCACTTTGAATGACTTTGTTTACATCTCAGCAATTGAATTATGCAGATATTTAGAAATCAGTGATGTATGACATAAATAATAAGTTAGGGGGCTACACAGAACGAAACAAAATATACATTATTAACGAAGATTTCAAATGAACTTTCCTTTTCCAAAACAGTTACGTAATTACAATTCCCAGTTGCAAAAGTTTTCTAGCAAAATATGATTTTTTCTATTTTTAATTTTGTGAATTGGTTCGGATCTTATTTTCTGAAGTTCCTCAATGGACATTTGGATGAAAAACACAAGTCAAACTGTCCTTCAAAATTCCCCACGAGTGAAAGTATCTACATTCTGAATTGGCAGTATTGCAGACAGAAATAAACATACAATGTGAAAACATTATGTTGTCTAATTTTTATGATTCACAACTTACTTAACCACAGCTTTACGGAAAACTCAAGCAGCTGCGGTTCAGACTTTGAGCTTTAAGGAATATTAGCTGTAATTACATCCCTCAATCTGAGCAGACAGATATACTGTCAACAGCAGCTCCAACAAGACTAGTTATACATAGGGGATAAAAGGTGCTGCACTGAATTTGCTTATTATCAGATATGGGCATCAAGTTTGTCTTTATTTTGTTGTTTACTGGGTAAAAGATGCTAGCATCCAACGCTAACAGCTAGCAGTGAGCTGTCATATCTTGACAGCAACAGGACAAATTCACTGCCTTCCAAGCACGTCTCGAATGTGATTCGGTTGCATTACTTTCATCACAGTGCTGCAACTAAGGCATTAACTTATGAGGCATCAAGACACCTGCCCTCAGTTTCAGACACAGGCTATGTAAATGAGTTGGTTCTTGTGACATAACAAAAACAATGAATTCTTTGCACGTATGGGCTGTATGGACTGGGAGGTTAACTGTGTTTACATATTATTTCAAACTTGTTCATTAAAAGAGAGTGAAATTAAGTCTTCTATGGTATGCACCCTTTAATTGCTTCCATTTTTACATTAAACCAGTGGTGTAACTACACAGGGGACAGTTGCACTGAGACCCGTGGCCACCAGCCCCCAAATTTGCAATGCAGGTCAGGAATCAAACTTGGGTTCTTCTAACTGTATTCACCTAAT